CCGGGAGGCCTGCAGTCCCTCCCGGCCATTCCTCCCTGGCCAAAGGCATGCCCCTGCCTTCCCAGTTGCCTCATGCAACCCTGCCTTGTGGTCTTATGGCCTGCGGCTTCCCTGGCTCAAACTCCCGCAGCCTACCGCAGCTGCCTCCCTGCAAGCCCCCGCTTTCATGACTGCCTCCATGGGCCTCAGGCCGGGTAGTCTGGGTTCGCTGGGCCCCAAGTCCGCGGCCCTGTGGGGGCAGACGGGCAGACCCCCCTCCTCCTCTCCGGAGCTGCACTTATAAGCTCCAGCTAGGGCCCCGTTAATTGCCCTCAGCTGGGCGTCTCCCCAACTCCAGGTCCCTTGACTCCAACACCCTGCCGCATGCCCCGACGAGGTTCCCAAACTTTTCGGCATTGATTTTTGAGCAACCCGCGCGCCCCCCCAAAATAGCAGCAAAACTTGTTGAGCAAAAAAAAAAGGACCGGACCGAGGCAGCAAAACGTGATGAGGGGCTGGGGGCTGGGTTGCCTTGCACCCCCCCTGGAATTTCTTCATGCCCCCCAGTTTGGGAACCCATGACCTCTTCTAGGTGACTCCACTGGGTGCCCTGGCAGCCAAGCCGGCTAACGGCGTATCGGGGTGCGTTAGGAGGAGCATGACCAGCAGATCTAGGGAGTAACTGGACGACCTGCTCCATTCCACGTCCGACGGACATAAAAGCCGAGTGCCGTGTAAGTAAGACCTCTTCGAACCCGCCCCATCTGCTTCATGTAGCGTGGACAGGCCGACAATTCCCCCTCCCATGTTTTCCCTCTTTTTCTGCTATTTATTTCGCCACCTGCACCTCTTCGCTCCGGTCATCTGAAGAAGAAGGCTATGCCCACGAACACTCATGAAATGTTCAAGAAAGATGTGGAGAAATCGGAGAGGGCCCAGAGAAGAGCAACAAGAATGATGAAAGGTCTAGAGAACATGACCTATGAAGTCCTTGCTCTGCGACAGGGGAACACGGGCCGGTTTGCCCAATGGGACCTACTGAGGCCTGTTTTCGTGTCGAGATTGTTCTTGATTTGACGCACCAGCAAAGGAAAGAGGCAAAGCGTCAAATTCACAGCTGTGTTGTGAGCAAGACACGAGAAGTCGTTCTTCCGCTCTGCTCTGCGCTGGTTAGGCCTCAATTGGAGTCTTGTGTCCAGTTCTGGGCAGCGCATTTCAGGAAAGATGTGGAGAAATTGGAGAGGGTCCAGAGAAGAGCAACAAGAACGATGCAAGGTCGAGAGAACAGGAGCTAGGAGGGGAGGCTGAAAGAATTGGGTTTGTTTAGTTTGGAAAGGAGAAGACGGAGGGGGACAGGAGAGCGGTTTTCAGGCGTGACAAGGAGGAGGGAGAAAACTTGTTCATCTTGGCCTCTGAGGATAGGACAAGAGGCTTAAACTGCAGCAAGGGAGGTTTAGGTTGGACATTAAGAAAAAGTTCCTAACTGTCAGGGTGGTCAAACACTGGAATAAATTGCCCAGGGAGGTTGTGGAATCCCCATCTCTGGAGATATTGAAGAGCAGGTTAGATAAATGTCTCTCAGGGATGGTCTAGACAGTATTTGGTCCTGCCATGAGGGCAGGGGACTGGACTCGATGCCTCTCGAGGTTCCTTCCGCTCCTAGTGTTCTATGATTCTATGATACCATCTACAGGCAGTCCCCGGGTTACGTACAAGATAGGGACTGTAGGTTTGTTCTTAAGTTGAATCTGTATGTAAGTCAGAACTGGCTCCAGATTGAGCCGCTGCTGAAACTGACCGCCAGTTCTGACTTACATACAGATTCAACTTAAGAACCCCAAGTCAGCTGCTGCTGAAACTGATCAGCGGCTGGAAAAAGTTCCTAACTGTCAGGGTGGTTAAACACTGGAATAAATTGCCTAGAGAGGTTGTAAAATCTCCATCTCTGGAGATATTTAAGTGTAGGTTAGATAAATGTCTATCAAAGATGATCTAGACAGTACTGGGTCCTGCCATGAGGGCAGGGGACTAGACTCGATGACCTCTCAAGGTCCCTTCCAGTCCTAGTATTCTATGATTCTCTACCATTTTTCAATAGAAAAACAAGATTCCAAAGCCAAGTTATTCTGTCTTTTTATAAAAATGACAGCTGTTTCACAAGTGGCTTTTCGTGGAAGGCTAGATCAAGATGTTTAATGCAATAATCATACTAATTATTTTATAAAAGAGCTGTAAAGGTTTTTTTTTTTGTATCATAACAGACTTTGCTTAAGTTTTCATGTATGATGAATTATTTTACTGTGAAAATAATGAGTAGTTCTGTGGCACTTTACAGACTAAACAATACATAGTATCATGAGCTTTTGAGGATAAAACCCACTTTGTCAGATGTGCTTTACACATGAAAGCTCATGATACTATATATTTTCAATAGTCCCTAAGGCACTGCTGTTTTTTAAGTTTGGTTTTCAGTTACAGACTAACACGACTCCCCCCTGAAACTTTTGTTCCCTGGATTCAGCTCTGCGGGGGCCACATCTGGAGTATTGTGTCCAAATTCTGGGCACCCCCGCTATAGGAAGAATGGGGACGCATTGGAGAAGGGCCGGCGGAGGGTGAACAAAACGATTTGGGGGCTGGAGCACATGACCTACGAGGAGAGGCTGAGGGATTCGGGTTTGTTCAGTCTGCAGAAGCGAAGAGTGAGGGGGGATTTGAGAGCAGCCTGCAACTTCCTGAAGGGGGGTCCAAAGAGGATGGAGAGAGGCTGTTCTCAGTGGGGCAGAACGAGGAGCAATGGTTTCAAGTTGCAGTGGGGGAGGTCTAGGTTGGATATTAGGAAAAACGATTTCCCTAGGCAGGTGGGGAAGCTCTGGGATGGGTTCCCTAGGGAGGGGGTGGAATCTCCATCCCTAGGGGTGTTTAAGTCTCGGCTTGACCAAGCCCTGGCTGGGTTGATTGAGTTGGGTTGGCCCTGCCTTGGGCCAGAGGCTGGACTCGATGGCTCCTGACGTCTTTTCTAGCTCTTGGATTCTCGGATTACCTACAGCTCCCGGCTAAAACCTCGCCTGCCCAACACGAACATCTACAAAACGCCCTAAACAATTAACGTTTGGACACAATCGGGCTGATGAAGTTGCCACAACTCAGTTCAGTCTATGGCTACCGCTGCGTGGAGATTTCTTTCCCCGCACGCAGACTGACTCTTGGATGCTAATCAATTAACCCACACGAGGCAGCAATGGGAGATTTTAAGCAGCTCCAATGTCAGCCTTCGGAGTGTTTTTCCCCTCTATGATCACCAAAATTTTTATATTGAGACGTCCGCTGCTCTGAACAAGGTTGGTGGGCAATATTCCTGCTAACCCTTTCCATCCACGTGTAGAATTTTCCCATCCATGTGCAAACATTTCCCATCGATGTGCGGAATAATTTTTGGACGTGCGCTGAGGCATGTGCACCACTCGCCACTATACAAAAGCTAGCTGGGGGCGGGCTGCCTCAGCTGGGCGGCATTGGAATCTCTCCTGAGCAGCCGCCCAAGCCCTCCGCTTCCAGGGAACACAGTCGGTGGGGCGGGAGAGTAAACGGTATATTACCTGTGGTCTCGGGGCAGACGCATGGCTCCCAGCTCCGCATACCAGTCATCTTCTCGATGGGTCAAGATGCGTCCTCCGACCCGGTTACTGGCTTCCAGGATCGTGATCTAAGAATACAACACAGGTCGGGTGACCACATGTCTCGTTTTGGCCGGGAGAATCCAGTTTTTACGTTCTGTACCGGTCACCCTGAGTTTCTTTTCCCCCCAAAGGAGACATTTTTATCCCCCTGGCTCTTGTCGATTAACCCACAACCTTTCCTCCGTGAAAGGTCGTCCAGGAAAGAGCATTCCTCTTGCATAACAGTCATTTCAGACACGATGTAACCTGACTGGGTACGCGCGGCTTCAATTTGGAACTTCAGAGAACTCGAGCAAAGTCTGAAAGCGCAGTTTCCAGAATCCTGCATGAGTATTCTTTTATTCCGGCATTGGCTACCCAAGTATGGCCGATTTCCACTGTGTGACTTTTCCCGATCTATCAATTTATCTCCACACACCCCTTCTATCTATCTATCTGTGTGTCTGCCTGTCTGTCTATCTATCTCCTCACATCCCATCTATCTATCTATCTATCTATCTATCTATCTATCTATCTATCTATCTATCTATCTATCTATCTATCTATCTATCTATCTATCTATCTATCTATCTATCTATCTATCTATCTATCTATCTATCTATCTATCTATCTATCTATCTATCTATCTATCTATCTATCTATCTATCTATCTATCTATCTATCTATCTATCTATCTATCTATCTATCTATCTATCTATCTATCTATCTATCTATCTATCTATCTATCTATCTATCTATCTATCTATCTATCTATCTATCTATCTATCTATCTATCTATCTATCTATCTATCTATCTATCTATCTATCTATCTATCTATCTATCTATCTTCTCCATAAACAACTTTTTTTCTTTATTTCCATGATGTGTGTGTTGGAAAGAATTCACTATTCTTTTAAGCGGCAAAATAACAAACCTGTAAATACAACATATTAAGATAATTAACAGTATTTCTTTCTTTCTTTCTTTCTTTCTTTCTTTCTTTCTTTCTTTCAGTTCACCCTGCTTACTTAAGCTCACTTTGTTGAGTTCTTCAGCACCATTTCCACTATTAAAAACCACGCTAGGACTGTTTCAGAGGAGGCCTGGCTCCCCGGCCTGTCTCTGGATCTTCTCGGTCGTTACAATTACCTGGCAGCCTGCGTCTTTTAGCAGCTTGGCAGCCGTGAGGCCGCCGATGCCGGCCCCGACGATCACCACTTTCTTGGAGCACTCGCCCTTCAAGCCGTTTTTGGCCAGTTTCACCAGCTCCTCGTAGTCGGAGTCCACGAAGCATTTCTCCCAGTCGTGGCGTGGGAGAGGGAGACTCTGCGAGCCCGGGAAGGCCGCCAGGAGGAAGAATGGAAGCAGCGCTGGAGACAGAGAAGCGGAAAAAACCATCAAACAAAACCAAACAGACAACGCCCATGGGCGAAGCAGACTCATTTTCCGAGATTAGGCAGCTCCCTCTACTATGTCTGTGTGTGTCCTCGGCCCCACCCGAGGAAGAGGCCCCCTGCCTCCCACGTGGACGCTGGATATTAACCGCCCGGGCACGTTGGTACAATCAGACACAAGCAGCGGGCAAACTCTTGGAAGGGAAGTCGGCTCTCTGAGCCTCTTGCTGTTCATGCGTTCTTATCAACTGCACAATGTAAGCACACGAGCGGGTTTCGCCAGCATGGCTTGGGGGAGCTCAGGGCGGCGAGGGGGGGGTTCAGGAGTCAGGGTAGGGTAGGGATGACGGTTGCTAACCATCAGTGAATTTATGGACAGTCCGTAAAAAAATGAGCCGAAATTGGACGTGGCCGTAAAGCCCGTAAAAAAATGTAGGTGTCGGTAAATTTTGTAAAAGCGCAATACAATTTCCCCAAACAGCAAGTCTCCTATAGCGATTGAATGTCTCCTGTGCTGCTTCTCCCATTTTCCTGCGGAGCAGCGGAAATTGGACGTGTTAGTTGCTCATTGATGGATAACAGTGTCAGTGTTCGGACATAGATAAGAACATAAGAACGTCAGTATTCGGATGTAGATAAGAACATAAGAACGGCCGTACTGGGTCGGACCAAAGGTCCATCTAGCCCAGTAGCCTGTCTGCCCACAGTGGCCAGCACCAGGTGCCCCAGAGGGGGTGGACGGAAGACAACGATCAAGCGATTTGTCTCCTGCCATCCCTCTCCAGCCTCTGACAAACAGAGACCAGGAGCCCCAATTCTATCCCCTGGCTAATAGCCTTTTATGGACCTAACCTCCATGAAATTATCTAGCTTCTCTTTAAACTCTGTTCTAGTCCTGTGCACAGCCTCCTCTGGCGAGGAGTTCCACAGGTTGACTACACGCTGTGTGAAGAAGAACTTTCGCTTGTTAGTTTTAAACCTGCTTCCTATTAATTTCATTTGGTGCCCTCTAGTTCTATTATGGGAACTACTAAATAACTTCTTTATTTACCCTCTTCACACTACTCATGATTTTACAGACCTCTATCCTATCTCCTCTCAGTCTCCTCTTTTGGAAAACAACCACAAAATGGAAAACTTCCAGGACCATGACTAACTAAATATAAGTGAGTTAAATTGCATATTTAATTGCATATTTTTCTAGTGATGTGTGAGTGACAACGTGTACTTTTCACTTTGAGCCATTTATGGCATTTTAATAGAGTCTACAAATTATGTCCGTCAAAAAATGTGTCTGTCCGTAAATCTTTCCAATTTTGTCTGCAAATGAAATTTCGGTGGGTTAGCAACCCTGGCAGGGGTTGGGAGATATGGGGGGGGGTGTATGTCCAGGGAGGAACTAGTGAACTTCAAAGTGCCAAAGCCGGCCGGACCTATTTGCACAACGCCGATCTTGTGAAAGAGCCATTCAAGGGATGTGGAAGCTTTTTTACTGCCATTTACCAACCCCAAGCGTAGACTGTCAATTTCTCAATGTACCGTGTTAATTGACAGGAGTCCACAACCTCCCTGGGCAATTTATTCCAGTGTTTCACCACCCGACAGTTAGGAAGTTTTTCTTCATGTCTAACCTCAACCTCCCTCGCTGCCGTTTCAGCCCCTTGCTTCTTGTCCTGTCCTCGGAGGTGAAAGAGAATCGGTTTTCTCCCTCCTCCTTGTAAGAATCTTTTATGTCCTGGAAAACCACGTCCCCAGACTAAACAAACCCAATGTTTGTCAGCCTTCCCTCCTAGCTCTGGGTTTGTAACCCTTTCAAAGCAGTTTCGGTCATGTCTTTGGTCACAGAATCGTAGAGCTGGAAGAGACGTCAGAAGGTCATCAAGTCCAGCCCCGTGGCCAAGGTAGGACCAACCCAACTCAATCAACCCAGCCAGGGCTTGGTCAAGCCGAGACTGAAACACCTCTAGGGATGGAGACTCCCCCCCCTCCATAGGGAACCCAGCCCAGCGCTCCCCACCCGCCTAGGGAAATCGTTTTTCCTAATATCTAACCTCGACCTCCTCTAATTCAACTTGAGACCGTTGCTTCTTATTCTGCCATCTGCCACCACGGAGAACAGCCTCTCTCCATCCTCTTTGGAACCTCCCTTCAGGAAGCTGAAGGCTGCTCTCAAATCCCCCCTCACCCTTCGCTTCTGCAGACTAAACAGACCCAAGTCCCTCAGCCTCTCCTCGTAGGTCATGCGCTCCAGCCCCCAAATCATGTTGGTCGCCCTCCACTGGACCCTCTCCAATGCACCCACATCCTTCCTGTAATTGTGCCCCTGTATTGCCAAGAGACAATGGTTCTTCCCTTGAGGGATTCGGAGGCAATAAACACGCACGTTGGGTGAAAGCTTGAAGCTTTTACTCAGCAAATATTAGGGGAAAATACAATGCTTCATATTAGAGTCAAATACAACGAAGCAAATCTTAGAATAAAAATACAACCCTAAGCAAACCTCAGAATAAAATGCAAAGCTTACCAAACCATTGCAATGCTTAGTACCCCAAAGCCAACCTCAAAATAAAATGCAATGCTTACTAAACCAATGCAAAGCTTATGAAGCCGATGCAAACCTTAGAATAAAATGCAATGCTTACTAAACCAATGCAAAGCTTATGAAGCCGATGCAAACCTTAGAATAAAATGCAATGCTTACTAAACCAATGCAAAGCTTATGAAGCCGATGCAAACCTTAGAATAAAATGCAATGCTTACTAAACCAATGCAAAGCTTATGAAGCCGATGCAAACCTTAGAATAAAATGCAATGCTTCCCAAACCAATGCAAAGCTTATGAAGCCGATGCAAACCTTAGAATAAAATGCAATGCTTCCCAAACCAATGCAAAGCTTATGAAGTCGATGCAAACCTCAGAATAAAATGCAATGCTTACTAAACCAATGCAAAGCTTGTGAAGCCGAAGCAAACCTCAGAATAAAATGCAATGCTTACCAAACCCATGCAAAGCTTATGAAGCCGATGCAAACCTTAGAATAAAATGCAATGCTTCCCAAACCAATGCAAAGCTTATGAAGCCGATGCAAACCTTAGAATAAAATGCAATGCTTCCCAAACCAATGCAAAGCTTATGAAGCCGAAGCCAACCTTAGAATAAAATGCAATGCTTATTAAGAAAGTACAATGCTTATTAAGCCTAAGCAGATCTCTGAATCAAATGCAATGCCTACACCCCCTCTGCTGCTGGGACCCCCCTGAAGAAGGACAGCGGACGGACCCTCGAGGCCGGTGCATCGCACCTTCCGCGCCTCCGGTCTATGCGGAGGTTGCAAGTTAGGAACATCCCCGGCACTTACGTCCTGTCGGATCGACAGCCATCACCCCTGTTGTTTTGAGAACCTAACAAGATCGTTGATACGTTGCATATTTTTCCACATCTAATAATTAGCGTGTCGATACTTTGCATGTTTTCCCAGGCCAAATAATTAGCATGATCAGGTGGGAAATGTTCAGCAAAGATAGCTGTGTGATCTTCCCAAGCGCTCCTGAACTCCCATACCACGTACATGCCTTGGGACCTGAGAAAGAGAAGGGGGAGAAAGAGACGCGGGGAGATGCGCCGCGCCGTAAGAAGCCCCAAGAGAAGTTTCACTCACAGAACCCGTCCATGTCCGAGGGCGGCGGGAACCAACCAGTCAGCCCTCTCGTTTTGATGCCGGCCTTTTATAGAGCTGAGTGGGTGAGAGATCTGCCCTGCACTTGCTGACTGCCTAGCCAAACCGGCAGATCGTTATCCCATAGTTCGGTGGTGTACTGCTCATAACCTGTGGGTTACGGCCTTGCGTCACCTTCTGCCAGGCATCCAGGAAGAAAGGAATTCTGCGGGTAGCAACCGTTCTCACAGCTAACTTCCTCCACTCCCTGGTGAAGAGAGCAGCCTCCTTCTTGCCTGGACGTTGCTCCACATTTCTCGCCATTGCGACACGACCTCACCCTCCCTCGTCTGTTGAACTTGTGGGAGAATGTGAGCGGAAAGTCCTTGTGGGTAACTCTACTGTAAGGGCTACTATAAGGTGGGTACATCACCGGCTGGAAAGCCGTATTCAGAGGGTTTTTTAATTGTATCCTTTGGTATATCTGGTTGTGACTATTTTCTTCCACTATTTGATCTGAGGAAGTGGGTCTGGCCCACGAAAGCTCATTATCTAATAAACCATCTTGTTAGTCTTTAAAGTGCTACATAGTCCTGTCTTTTGTTTCAGCTACACCAGATTAACACGGCGACATTTCTATCACTATTCTCCGTACTTAGAGAGTCGTTATTAACGGTTCACAATCCTGCTGGAAAGGTATAACAAGTGGGGTTCCGCAGGGGTCTGTTTTGGGACTGTCTGGGAAGGAGTCCGGCAGAAAGGGATCTAGGGGTTATAGTGGACCACACGCTGAATATGAGTCCCCAGTGTGATGCTGTTGCAAAAAAAGCAAACGTGATTCTGGGATGTATTAACAGGAGTGTTGTGAGCAAGACACGAGAAGTCATTCTTCCGCTCTACTCTGCGCTGGTTAGGCCTCCGTTGGAGTATTGTGTCCAGTTCTGGGCACCGCATTTCAAGAAGGATGTGGAGAAATTGGAGAGGGTCCAGAGAAGAGCAACAAGAATGATGAAAGGTCTAGAGAACATGACCTATGAGGGAAGGCTGAAAGAATTGGGTTTGTTTAGTTTAGAAAAGAGAAGACTGAGCGGGGACAGAACGCAGTGGCAGTGTAGACTCAGGTATAGTTTTGTGGACAAAACCCTGTAGTCTAGACGCACCCTGTCTGTCGACAAAACTTCTGTCGACAACGAGCGTCTAGACGGACCTTTGGGCAGGTGCCACTGCTCTGCAGGGGAACCCGACTCACCAGGCAGCGTAGGGCTGGGCTGTATGGCACCCAGGTGGGTTAATGGCCAAGCCCTCCTCCAAGGAGTTGAGCGCTGCGGTGTTAGTGTTAGCAGCCTTCACAAACTTGGGCCGACATAAGGCCTCGTGTATCACACCTGAACGCAGACATCAGTCCAGCTAACGCAAAGGAGCTGCGGGAATGCTGAGGGAAGCTTGTAGATTTCTTGCACTAGAGTTTTTAACTCCTCCCGAATTAATCGAAATCAACACAAACATATTGTGAGCATGATCGGAAAGTCACTTGACAGGCTACACCATCTCCCCCTCACCGCCACCACAGGCAAATTGCCTGTTCCCCTCCTGAACCACGAGACCCAACCCCCTTGGCTACTCCTCAGACTATGCCCCAGCTGAAATAAGGCCTGGGCTACGGGACACTTATACTTTGCTTGTTTGCTGCCTGCCCTGAATCCGGGGCCGAGTTCCTGTACCAACAGGTTTAGTTGCTGCCCTGCCCTGCCCTGGAGCTGGGAGCCGGGAGCCGAACTAACTATGTTTGTGTACCGGTCGCCCACCCGGATGCAAGGCCAGGTTTAAAACAAACCAAAGGAAGTTTTTCTTCACGCAGCACACAGCCAACCTGTGGAACTCCTCGCCAGAGGATGTGGTGAAGGGCAGGACTTTAACAGGGTTCAAAAAAGAGCGAGATAGATTCATGAAGGTTAGGTCCAGCAATGGCTGCTAGCCAGGATGTGTAGGGATGGTGTCCCCTAGTCTCTGTTTGTCTGGAAATGGAGAGAGAGCATGTGAGGTTCCCTTTTGTGATTCCCTCCCTCTGGGGCACCTGGTGTTGGTGGTCTGCCCACTGCGGTGTCCTTCTGTTTCTGGCTACATAGGATTATATTCTTAACAGTTCTAAGTTACATGACCTAATACATTATATTCTAAAGGGGCAATAATAATAAATCTAAACATTTAACAATCTTAACAAATAACAATAATAATAAGAAGAATTAATAATAAATCTAAACACCTTAAGTTGTGGGGAACAAATTCTGGGGAGTCACTTCCATTTGGGGGAATCATTTTCAACATTAATATGTTATCCCTACAGTCCAACTGGGAGGCGGGGCCCCGATCGCCGCTGTGGGCCGTTTGTTACTAACAACAGCGGCATTTTCGGACAATTTTTTCACCACGTCGATTTAACACAACGAGCCCGTCTCAAGTGGAGTCTCAAGCCCCACACAATGAACCAGAGTTACGTCTCAAGTCGGGTCACTGCCACAGTATCTTTTGAAAAAGCCTCTTTCGAAAAAGAGCATCTAGTGAACAAGAAGAGTTATCGACAAAGCGGCCTGCTTTCTCGAAAGGGCGTCTAGAGGCTCTCTTTCTAAAAAGCCCCGTTTTCATGCAATAGCCCCTTTTTCCAAAAGATGACGTTCGAAAAAAGGCATTCTTCCTTGTAGAATGAGGTTTACCGCCATCGACAAAACTGCCGCGTTCTTTCGATTTACTGTCGACAGAACGTGGAGGTAGTCTAGATGCAGGTACCATTTTTTTTCCCCGAAAAAAGGCCACTATAACCCGAACTATACATATAATATGATGGGGGCTAATTTGGCTACGACAAATCAGGAAAGAGATCTTGGAGTTATCGTGGACAGTTCTTTGAAAACGTCCACACAGTGTGCAGCGGCAGTCAAAAAGGCAAATAGGATGCTAGGAATTATTAGGAAAGGGATAGAAAATAAGACCCAGAATATCTTACTGCCCCTGTATAAAACTATGGTACACCCACATCTGGAATACTGTGTACAGATGTGGTCTCCTCACCTCCAAAAAGATATTTTGGCCTTGGAAAGGGTTCAGAAAAGGGCAACTACAATGATTAGGGGTTTGGAACGGGTCCCATATGAGGAGAGGTTAAAGCGACTGGGACTTTTCAGTTTGGAAAAGAGGAGACTGAGGGGGGATATGATAGAGGTATCTAAAAGCAGGAGTGGTGTGGAGAGAGTGAATAAAGAAAAGTTATTTATTAGTTCCCATAATATAAAGACTAGAGGACACCAAATGAAATTAATGGGTAGCAGGTTTAAAACTAATACAAGAAAGTTCTTCACACAGCGTGTTGTCAACCTGTGGAACTCCCAGGTTTAAAACTAATAAAAGAAAGTTCTTCTTCACACAGCGTGTAGTCAACCTGTGGAACTCCTTGCCAGAGGAGGCTGTGAAGGCTAGAACTATAATAGAGTTTAAAGAGAAGCTAGATAATTTCATGGAGGTTAGGTCCATAAAAGGCTATTAGCCAGGGGGTAGGAATGATGCACCGGCCCTCTGTTTGTCAGAGGCTGGAGAGGGATGGCAGGCGACAAATCGCTTGATCATTGTCTTCGGTCCACCCTCTCTGGGGCACCTGGTGTTGGCCGCTGTCGGCAGACAGGCTACTGGGCTAGATGGACCTTTGGCCTGATCCAGTATGTCCAGTGTTATGTTCTTAAAATACAGTGAAGCAAATCTTAGACTAAAAATACAACCCTAAACAAACCTCAAAACAAAAAGCAATGCTTCCTAAAACAATACAATGCTTATTAAGCTTAAGCAGATCTCAGCATCAAATGCATTGCCTATGTCCCTTGTGCTGCCGGGAACCCCTTGAAGAAGGGCAGCCGACAGACCCCAGAAGCCAATGCATCCCACCTTCCGCACCTTTGATCTACGCCGAGGTTGCAAGGTTAGGAACGTCCCCGGCACTTGTATCCCGCTGGCTCGGCAGCCTGTTGTTTTGAGAACCTAACAAGTTCGTTGATACGTTGCACATTTTCCCACATCCAATAATGAGCGCGCTGAGACTTTGAATATTTCCCCAGGCCGCATAATTAGCATGATCAGCTGGGAAACGTTCAGCAAAGATAGCTGTGTGAGTTTCCCAAGCGCTCCTGAACTCCCATTCCAGGTGCACGCCTTGGGACCTGCCCTAGAATTTGTTGAAAGTCAACAGGGTGTTCCTACACTTGAGCACACAGCTCACGCTTTGAGAATAACAACTGAAAATAAGAAGCAAAAAGCACAAAGGGCTGCCTCGCGCATCCAGGCCCGTAAGAAAATTCAGGCACAAAAGGGACGATTGTGGGACACTCCCCCTTATTTCCTCGACCTCACAATCGTCTTGCGTATTTCCGCTACGACCGAAGTGAGGAATGCAGCAAACCAGGCACTTTCCCCCGGCTCCCTGGCCAAGGGGAACAGCCATGAAAGCTCCATGAATGCGGAAGATGATTCGTACGGTGTGTCCATTTCTGTCTATAAATGTTTCTGTCTATAAACGCTGAACTCTGTGGCGTGAAATCCCTACTGTGGTCCTAGGTACAAGCACAGAAGGGGTGGGAGGCCGTCTGGCTCCGGACGACTATGAATGTCTTTCGTTGGACAGCAAACCTGACTCGGGTGCCTTCGGGTCTTCCTTGAGTCTGTGGCTTTTGGGGGCGCTGCTGTTTTGCTGTCCTGACCTATTCCACACAGCTAAGAAAGTCGACCAAGAAATCGTCGCTTTTTTCTCCCCCTCGAGGGACAAATTGCCAATCCACTTTTAAAGCCTCAGCGGGGTGAAAAACCAATTTATTTTAATAGTAGAATCATAGATCCATAGAGCTGGAAGAGACCTTAGAAGGCCATCAAGTCCAGCCCCCTGCCCAAGGCAGGAACAATCCCAATTAATTCAACCCAGCCAGGGCTTTGTCAAGCCAAGATCTCTAGGGATGGAGACTCCACTACTTCCCTAGGGAACCCAGCCCAGTGCTTCACCACCCTCCTAGTGAAATAGTTTTTCCTAATATCCAACCTGGACCTCTCCCACCACAACTTGAGACCATTGCTCCTTGTTCTGCATCTGTCACTACTGAGAACAGCCTCTCGCCAGCCTCTTTGGACCCCCCTTCAGGAAGTTGAAGGCTGCTATCAAATCCCCCCTCACTCTTCGCTTCTGCAGACTAAACAGACCCAAGTCCCTCAGCCTCTCCTCATAAGTCATATGCTCCAGCCCCCTCAGCATTTTG